CTAACTTATAGACAGAGCTATTAGATATATACAGAGCTTAATCTCCGCTATTTCTCAGAAATTCTGCGGCGACGCGTGACTGTATATACGACCCATCAACTAGACGCAGCCTTTGTCGTTTGCGGATTATGTGCTGGTTTGTAGTGTGGCCCGCGGCGTTGCCACGATAACGACGACGACGACGACGACGACGACGACGACGACGACGACGACAACAACAACAACAACAACAACAACAACAACAACAACAACAACAACAACAACAACAACAACAACAACAACAACAAAGACAACACACTGCTATTCATGCTCTCTACGAAACATGACTTAATACCTGCACGACAGACTTGATAAGTTCCCGCGTCCGTGTAGTAACTATATTATTATATATGGCGATGTTTTGAGGATGTGAGGATGTTGAATGTAGGACATTTCGGCCAAGGACTTTTCGGCCTAGGACTTTTCGGCCACATATTTTCACAACAGATAGGACTTTTCGGGCAAATTCAATTTTTTTCCCCAAATACTTCTTTTATCCCAGTTTAACATACATTAGGTTGCCATCCATTAATTATTTCTGCTAATTATATTTTAGGTTTAATAACATTAAAAAAAATCAACATTACACAAACAAACTAAACACAATTTTGAATTTGGCGGAAACGAGTCGTTATATGCTCAGAAATATGTGGCCGAAAGTCCTACCGTCGAATGGCCGGGCCGAAAAGTCCGTGGCCGAAAGTCCGCTACCGAGAGATGAAGCGGGAACGGGGAGTGGGGGGGGGGATGTGCGGCCGAAACAACTAGGCGATGCCTTTGTCATAGTCAGCCACTCCGGCTGTTCACAGCCCGCCCTCATGCATTCGCCACACCACAATCCACACATACACACACACACACACACACACACACACACACACACACACACACACACAACACACACACACACACACACACACACACACACAACGAACACCACACACCACACGCATGCACGCACACACACGCACACACACACACCACACACACACACATGCACATAACACACACACACAGCACGACCCACACACACACACACACCACCACACATGCCACACACTACACCAATTGCACACCCACGCACGCACACCCACGCACGCACACCCACGCACGGCCGCACGCGACGGCACGGGCACGCACACACACACATACACCACACACCACGCACACACGTACGCACGTACACACACACACACACACACACACCATACACATGCGCACACGCCGAACGCGCACTACGCACGTACGCATGCACGCACGCACACGCCCATACACACACACGCACGCATGCACGCACGCACACGCACGCACACACACATACACACACCACGCACACACGTACACACACACCTATACACACACACGCACACACGTACGCACGTACACACACACACACCCACAGACGCACGCACGCACGTACACACGCACGCACACACACAACACATCCCCTCCCCCATGCAGACACACACACGACAATACAACCACGTGACTCTGCGTTACACACACACACATATATATGACGAGGTGAAATCCAGATCATACAAACAACCAGGTGATTCCACGACACGCACACTCGTACACACGCACGCACGCACGCACGCACGTACATACGTAGTCGGTTACATCTAGCTGCCTCTATACGTTAAGTGGACAACGAGACGGGACTATCTGATAGACTGACTTGCATCTACATTCCAACGATGAAGCAGCCAACTCTCCTTCTCATCACTCTATGCACTCTACTCGTTGCACTGGGTAAGTTATATACACTAGCTGGAACCCGCGCTAAGCGCGGGCTAAGTGACTGTGATGCATGTGTTACCAGAAGTGTTATGTGTAAGGTGTTGTATGGAGAGTTTAGTTGTTGCACATGTTTGTTTTTTTATAAACTGTTTTATTGTATGCTATGTACTGGTTGATGATACGGACTCCAAAGCTAGAATATAGATAGATCTCATTGGGCTGGTAGGTCGTTCCACTCGTTAACCACTTGGCTGCGTACCACGTAATATTACGTGCTTCGCATGTTTCCACTCTGTATATATATATACTACAACATACTATATTTCTACTTACATTATTGGGCTTACAAAAATCTCTGTGCATGCAGCACAACGTTGACAGACGGCGAAATATTACAGCACAACGTTCACAGACGGCGAAATATTAGCAAGGCAAAGATATAGGGCCCCATATTTTCAGGCAAATCTTTACCTTTTTTATTGTCTTTTTTAAGCCTTTTTGACCGTTTTCAACCAAGTAAAGTTTAGAACCCGTCCCGTGTATTCATCGATCTCTTCTGTGAATTTGGCGCTATTTGGATCAAAACTGACGGAGCCTTTCATTAACATACATGCATGCATGCACGCGCGCGCTTGCGCGCACGCACGCACGCACGCACGCACACACACACACACACACACACACATACATACATACATACAACATTCGGCAAATTATAGTAAGATATACAATAGACTGTACATATAGCTAGTTCGGAAACCAAGGAATTTCTGTAAACTAGTCCATGTTCACGTTATAGTTCTTCCGGTTTCTTGCCTTTCCCCGAGCGATACACATGATGTTATCAGGTGTGAAATAAAAACAAATTGTGTTTTCATTCACGCCTGCTTTCGATTCCGATTCCGAATCCGATTTTATCGTGACAGCAAACAGTTTTGTATTTCTCTGTCATTGCTGACAAGTATTTTCCATGTTTCCTTAATTTAAAAACTACATTGTTTGTGTTTTAGGTACAGCTGAAGGCAAGCCCCAATGGCCATGTAAGTTATGCAGCGTCAATTCTCACTGCAGATAATCCTGGTAACTAACAATACACTTTCAACAATACAGTGTGTATTGTTAAACACCTTCTAACAACACACTGTGTATTGTAGTAGGTACCTAACAACTGTGTATTTAATTTCAATTTCATTTTCAATAAATTCAATAAAATCAATCATATAATTTCAATAAATTCATTTAAATAAATGTCAATTTCAAGTTTACAAATCTAAATCAAAATTTAAATGCATGTGCATGCGTGCATGTACACGAGCGTGCGTGTGTGTGCGTGCATGTCGATGTAGGTGTGAATAATACAGGTAAAGGATTAAGGTTGCTGTTTTGCGTGTTGCAGGCTATTGCTTTGTGTCGCCATGTGATCCCAGGTTTCACTCATGTGACACAAGTACTGAGGTGTGCAGGTATGTACATAAATATATCTACTTGTCTGTAATCAATACTTATTACATAAAATATATCTTACTTATAACTTATATCTTATAAACACTTATATAAACAAGGATTTATATGTCCCTCATCTCTTGTAGCAATGCCGTTCAGGCATGGTAAATACACATAATATATAGATTCACAGTTATAGAATGAGTGTGTGAGCATTACTATTTAGTATACATGGTAATATATAACATGGACCATGCTCACACTTATACTGATAGCAAGCAGCGTAGAAGGGAGACAAGAGGAGATATTCATAGTTATAGGGAAGTAAGCTAGACCAGGAACCAATAAATAATAGCGTATTTAGCAACGTGAGGGCGAAGGTTAGATTGAATCGAAATGAAAAATGCAGGCAGTCAGAATATTCCTGTATAGCTGTATATTATATGTTAACACATTCACTGTCTTTATAGGTGCTGCCATCTGCAGTTTATTTAAGAAGAAAAAACTCAAGTCTCGTTACCATACATATCACATAACATCTACACTCGTTACGGCGAACGCAACTATTCACGATAACTGTCACTTACACTAGGAGTGCTCACTTGTTTCACAGAGAGTTTGGCTGCTGCATGCACTGGTGTGCCCCCAGAGGCTAACGTCACATAAACCCCTGCATGTATACGCTGTGTGGACCAGGCACCGTATGCGAGTAAGTACATTATGTACTACCACACATATAGTAACACAAAGATGTCTACAATAGATTACATAGAGATGTGTTCCTGATGCTAGTAGCCGCTCTCCAAAAAAGCAAAGGTCACTTAAAGGTCACGTAAGCGTCTCTAAACCTTGACAGCCGATAATTCAATAACGAATAGATTACGATTTTGCTCAGTGTTGTGGCGTGTGTGGATGTGTTGTCTCTTTGAATGACAGTATTTTGTCCATTAGCAATTCCAATACTATATTATGGTATTATATTATTTGTAAAGAAGTGCAATAACTGTTGAAGTTCACGTGTAATTAGCAGTTTTACAAAATGCAAGTAATTTAAACCTGGTTGTCAACTTGTTACCTGTATATACGATTTATTTTCAGGACGGATAAAAATTGCCGGGGAGTATGTGTGGACAGGCCGCTGAAGGGTTAGAGTGCATCACCGCTCAATAATACAAGCATGTGATATCGGCCTGCCATCTGGTATCGGACAACATAACAACTTTAATATATATGTTCTGGAGAATGCTACTATTACCCAGTGATGTTAATTAATATTAAATATAATAATGATAACATATTTTCTCAATAATTATTTTTAATAAGATATGGTAATGTTAAATCACATTATTCAATGAGAGTTTGTACTCCATGCATCAATGCTTACTAGCTGTTGTACTGCAATTACGTTTTCTGGGCAAAATGTTTAATGTCAATTAATAAAAATCTATTAAATAAAAATCACTGCTAACTACTAAATTCTTTGTTATTTTTAATCTTCCCACCAAACATGCACATAAATTAATGTAATACTGTTTTTTTCATAATTCAGTTGAAATTATTTAAGAGGCAAAAAGATTTAATAATGAATTTCATTGTTTTCATTTGGTTTTTGTATAAAATTAGTGCTACAGTCAATGGACAAGAAGCTAAGCAAGTAATATATATGCAGAGACATATGCAAAAGACAATGCAGGGGCCAATAGTATTATCTAAACAGCATAAACATACAATGTTATTATCTAAGTAGGAGAAACAATGATAAAACATGGACTTACTCAATACCAATGACAGCAGCGTAAGCTTCAGAGCCAGCCAGAGCGTAGCTTGTTAGCAAAGACACGCTGAAAATGTCAACACATTATGTTACACTCGTAACTTCATAGAGATAGCTAGTCAGCACAGAGACTACAGCTGCGTTCACACGAGATTCACAGCCTCGCTAGTTCCGTACTTATCTGGTGCTGAATTCGGCTGAAACACCGTGCTAACACAACCCGCAGCGTTCACACGAGAATCGAGGCTTATAATATAGACTGGTACCCGGTCGACAGTTCCACACGCTACACTAACGTCGTGTAGCAAACGGGTACCAGTCTAGGTAAGCGCACTACAGTAAGAGGCCTCGAATTGCGTTCACACGACAGATAATACGCGGCCAGCGTGGTGCCGAATGTTTCAGCGCGGAATGTGATTCCGCGCCGAATAAGCCTCGTATTTCAGTACGGTACTTGCTAAGCCGCGTATAAGTCTTGAATATTTTTACCGTGTGAACGCTCAGTACGGAACTGAAATCCTCGTGTGAACGCAGCTAGTGTAAATGTCAACACATTGCACATGTAACTAGATTAAGATAGATAATAAGCACGGACATGTGGTACGGCTGAGCATAAACGTACGTACAACTGAATGAGGATGATGACATCGAAGGCTTGAGTGGAGCAGCATCCGAGGAAGAGCGCAGCGATGCTGTGAAGGTTCGGATGCTTAACTGAAGCCCCGTGACGTGGCAAGATCACGTGACCAGCAAGAATCTCACCTGAGAACATGTATAGACAATCAGTGCCATCTGGTGGCAGACCCTGGCATGAGAGAGGCAGTTCAATGCATCCCACCACTAACACACGGGGTTACAGTAGACATGTAGCAATCTGTACCAGCACACACACACACGCACGCACGCACGCACGCACGCACGCACGCACGCACACACACATGCCACTACTAACACATGGTGTTACAGTAGACATTACCATTCTGTAAGTCTTCTAATTCATCATCAGAGCCGAGTTCGCCTCGTAGTGGGTGTAGGGGAACACTCTCTATGTTGTCCGCCTGTGAGAGAGACAGAGACAGATGGCGTGATGAGATATGTGACATACACACTATCCTCATACACCTCACCACACACCTCACATGCTCTCACCTCACACATTCTCACCTCACACCTCACCTCACATGCTCTCACCTCACACACCTCACCTCACACCTCACCTCACACCTCACCTCACATGCTCTCACCACACACACCTCATCTCACACCTCACCTCACACCTCACCTCACATGCTCTCACCTCACACATTCTCACCTCACACCTCACCTCACATGCTCTCACCTCACACATTCTCACCTCACACCTCACCTCACAT